AGATGTACCGAGCAGAAAGCTAAAATCAAGACAAAAATACTGATGGGCCCGATTTTACCGCTGCAGCCCCGTCTCATGCACGCGAATGCGTGCGCAGCCAAACTGGTATAATATATATAATTTATCACCCAATCTGAAACCTTGGTATTTCCGGTTGCTGCGGGCATGTTCGTTAGCTTGGGCTCAATTCGGAAAGATGAATTTCGCCTGACTCAATAAGCGGGTTATTTCTAGGGTCTTGAGTCGCGAAGTGTGATATTCCGCATTTTTGCGCGCCATCGCCAAATTCGCCGTGCTTAGCGACAGGGTTTTGCCAGGTCGTCACACCAGCATTCGCTGCTCAACCTGGGAATGTGGAGGATTTCTTTCGAGGCCCTGACTCAAATATGTTCTTTCGTTCATTGGCGATGGCGGCCATTGGCTCTATTCCGACCACTCATGCGCCCTCCCACCACTTAGATTGCTGGCTTTGAACCAAAATGTCTTGCCAATATTATATTACTAATGAAGAGGCTTGAATTAACCCCTACACACAAGTTGACAGCGAATTTGCTGAAATTGAGTCGTGGCGAAAACGATTGCCCAAATGGCACCGATTTGGCGATGGCGACCATTTCGGCAACCGTTTTCGCCACGACTCATTCCCAGCAATTCGCTGTCAACTTGTGTATAGGGGTTATTTCAAGCCCTCATTACGAATATGACAGACATTTTGGTTCAAAGCATAATTTCCGATCTAACTGGTGAGAGGGCGCAGATGGGTGGGAATAGAGGCCAAATGGCGCCATCGCCAAGAACGAATACCATATTCGTAGTCAGGGCTCGAAAGAACCTCTACACTCAGGTTGACAGCGAATTGCTGGGTATGAGTCGTGGCAAAACCTGTCGCTAGCACCGATTTGGCGATGGCGCCAAAAACGGATGTCACATTCGTGATCAGGACCCTCGATAACCCCTGTAGGTAAGTTCAGCGAAATTTTTATTTTTGCCGAAATTGAGGCAAGGTTTAGGAATTGGGGTGGAAAACCCTGTAATATGCTCAAAAACTTGTTGTAAGTCTGACGATACTGCAAAGACCTCACAAGTACCTCACATAGGAGTAGAAGTTAATAAAGGGAATAACAGTAACTTGGAACGAGCAATAGTTTTTTCTGACTATGAAAAAAAGGGAATAAAAAATAGTGACGTGGAAGTAGATGCCACGCCTGAGGAAACGTGCGTGTGGGACTGACAGCGGCTAATCACGAGCTGCCTGAATGGTGCCCAATCTGCGAATGATCATTCGTTGAGAATGAAACGCAGAAGTCTGACTAGCGTTGAAAACACGTTAGTGACTATCCCATATAAACCTCTTAGAACCTTTCCAATAAAAGGTGGGTTTCGCATGGAAACGTAGAATTATTTTGAACAGCAGGGGAAAACCTATTGTTAGACGGCAGCGTTTAAGATAAACGTCAGCCCTCGTCGAAAATAGATAATTAGCAGCAAGAAGGGGGCTTTTTGAAATAATTGCTGTTAGTAGTTGGCAGACGACATGAGGAAGTGGATTTTCACGAGTTACCCGCAATACAAGATTGAGTTAATTTTCAGCGTGCTATAGCACTCCTAAAAAAGGAGAGACTCTTTTAAGTAGATAAATTTCCAGTGAAGGGTCAAGGAGGCGGGGCACCCTTAACAAGTGTCCCCGTCGAATGCCCCGTCGATGCCACCACATCCGGTAATCTTGAGAGTTTAAGATTTTGATTCAAGGGATTTCAAAACTTGAGAAGTAGTATCAGAGGATTCGATAAGCTTATGAGTCACCCTCTTCAGCCTGTGCCCGGTAATGGGCCCCCCCCCCCCCCCCCCCCCCCCCCCCCCCCCCCCCCCCCCCCCCCCCCCCCCCCCCCCCCCCCCCCCCCCCCCCCCCCCCCCCCCCCCCCCCCCCCCCCCCCCCCCCCCCCCCCCCCCCCCCCCCCCCCCCCCCCCCCCCCCCCCCCCCCCCCCCCCCCCCCCCCCCCCCCCCCCCCCCCCCCCCCCCCCCCCCCCCCCCCCCCCCCCCCCCCCCCCCCCCCCCCCCCCCCCCCCCCCCCCCCCCCCCCCCCCCCCCCCCCCCCCCCCCCCCCCCCCCCCCCCCCCCCCCCCCCCCCCCCCCCCCCCCCCCCCCCCCCCCCCCCCCCCCCCCCCCCCCCCCCCCCCCCCCCCCCCCCCCCCCCCCCCCCCCCCCCCCCCCCCCCCCCCCCCCCCCCCCCCCCCCCCCCCCCCCCCCCCCCCCCCCCCCCCCCCCCCCCCCCCCCCCCCCCCCCCCCCCCCCCCCCCCCCCCCCCCCCCCCCCCCCCCCCCCCCCCCCCCCCCCCCCCCCCCCCCCCCCCCCCTCGCTGGTTTTACCGAATTGTTGTGCACGGCGTTTTATCATTGCCCATAGAAGCGAAAATGGCGTAACTTTCCAACGTGTCGAACTTTTGTCACATACTGTACGAAGCCCAGTTGACAAACATCCGACGGGAAATGCATAGAAGTGAGATTCGCTATAAAGGAAAAGTTCTCTTTGACCCACGAAAGTTCTCTCGACTCACAGTGTGTTTTTCTAAGTGTGCATGAATTTCAGCAGTAGAAGCTTTGTTACAGAAGCATGTGTTTCAGTTGCTTAAGTAATTCAGGGCGGAAGTGGTGTAGTGGCAATGGCACCTCCAGCACGCGTCGCGGGAATCAAATCCTGGTCGTGAAATGCCCAGGCAACCAACATTTTTTTCCCCTTTTTTTTTTTTTTTTTTTCCCTTTTTTTTTTCCTTTTTTTTTTTTTTTTTTTTTTTTATTTTCCCCCACTTGTCGTTAAATTGGTAACCAGACATATGTCTGGCGGATAAAAACACTGACTTAACACGGCTGGTCATCTCTCCCCCCCCGCAAGTCTATGGTGATAGTCAATCGCATTCCAACCCACTCTTGAGGTTGTATCAACATCGATCATTATAGTATTATAGTTCACCCAGCGGGCGGTTGGTTTCTCAAAAATTCAGGTTTTCTAATCTTATTAAAGCAAAGATCGTCCTCACACACGCACAGTACGGCTGCAATATTCTGCATCGAAAACCTTGTTTTTGAAAGCTACATTGGCTGCTCAACATGGCCTTGGTCAATATGATCTTGTGCTCGTAGAGTTTCACTAAAAAGAAACAAAGCACTACCAAGGCACGTAAATCGGAAGGCGGAAGAATGGGAGGATAGAGGCATAGTCTACAGAAGATGAATATCACACGCGCATGACGAACGACGCTCGTAGTCGGCTTAAAAGGGAAACTCGATAAGCCTCAGGAGGGATCCTCTTTCGCTCGAAACAGACGTCAAAGACTCGACACCAGCATAGTGCCATCGTGAGCTCGAACGCATACGCTATCTCATAGATCTAAAATTCATAGGTCACGGGGCACCTTTCCTGGCGAGGCAAAACCTCAAAAGAGGGGAATTTTAACCCATTCGTGACAATGGCAGCCACCGGTGGCTGACAAAGATCTCACTTGGGACAATGGTATCCACCGGTGGCTGCCGTGTTTCAAATGGAATTTGGAAAGTTTTCTTTCCTGAAAAGAATCTTCATACCCTCATTCATCTACGCCAGCCCTGGGCAGGGAAATCTCCATCCACTCAAATTTTATTGAAGAAAAATCTCCTGACTCTCCTGCTATTGCGCAATCCGGCGCGGTCGCGAATGGGTTAAAACACTCACTCTTGCCATCGTCACTTTTTTGTATGAGCGGCGGTCTGACCGAAATACTCCCGAGGTCGATGTAACTCAAGTTTTGCTAGAAGACTTATTGAGGAAAGAAGCAACAAAGCACATCGCAGAACGCGCTATCGCGAGCGTTTCCTCGCGCACAAAGGGAAATCCGAGTGATAAACCTGGATATAGCCCTCCCATGTACTTATCGTGCGATAAGTAAAAGAATACCCGGTAGCAGCCATTGAGATTAAGCGTGATCGAAACAAAAACCGTGCTCAACACGAGGACACATAGCGTCACAGAATAAGCATGAAGTCTCACATTATTGGTCGATCCTTAGTTGTTCCTTAAGACACACTGATGAACGTCGCTCATCATTCGCTTAGCTGCCCATCACAAACGTGTGTAGGAGCTTCGTAAGCGGAAAGCAAGGAGAATCGGCGATCGTTGAAGAAATGTCAATGTTCCTCCCACCAGTATTGAATTTGAACCTCCATGTTTCGCCCTTTTTCTTGAATTTAATATTCAAAGGTTTATCCTTGCACACCGCAATCGCTCGTAGCACGAGCTGCTCTGAAAAAGCGAAAAGCCAGCGAAGATAAATTTCGTCATTTCCAATTGCAAGGCTTCGGCCTTCCTCCTCTATGTACCAATTTCAAACTAAGACTAAATGAAGGATCTGGTTGCTGTATGGAAATGTAAAGGCGATATAGATGAGACCATATTTCACTGTCATTGTCGGCGTCTTTTCCGCCAAAATTGGCTTTAGAAGAACGGCAAAAAATGGCATAGCGGGGTTATTGAATGGAATGGGAAGGAAACGGTGAAAAATTGAAGTAATCTTGCCGTCAACGTTATTTTGAGTAAATGATAGATCTAGAAGCCTAGGGGTAGGACTTAGGGGTTATCGAAAGAACTTCAATAATGCGGAAGGAAATTTCATGGAAGCTGAGCGTCAATGAAATGAGTCAATTATGTACGTCGACGTGGCCTCAAGAATCTACAGGATTACCTTGGTACTCAATAGGGTCAAATGGAGAACCCGCTGGGAAATAGCGACTGGTTTAAGAGGCTCTACAAGCTGATAGGGTAGAGGTTGCAATATTCTGCTGCTTACTGTTGTTGCTCCAAAAGTTGAAGGGTAAATTTCTGGTGGTCTTACGGAATCCCACAGTTCGGATGAACATAGGACTTTACGGCAGTACAGTCCATCGCATTTTTTGGAAATTTCACAAACAGGTACAACAAAGAAAACGCCAAATGCACAGAGCTTGCAAAAAAGTTCCCCACATTGCTCCTGATGGTCCTGGTTCTGGTTCTAGGTACTGTTGAACAGTCCAGTAGAATTAAAGCGCTTCCAGTCCGCGAAATCGAAGATGACACTTATTCGGTCAACTAAAGATGGTTGGTGCTCAGATGGTTGATCTGGATTGAATTAATATTAAAGGCGGGTCCGAAACTGAATTGTTAGGGGTAGGGAATACCTAACATCCGAAAATTCAGTTTCGGATTCCGTACGTATGCTCCGAGCTCGTCTAGGAGTGGCGTTATCCCTAGCGCCATCCGCCTATCTAGAGTCATCAGTGGTGAACACGTGATCTGCTCAACAATTTCTTCGATTGGACAGAAATTATTTATTTTTCTCTTGTTGCATAGTAACTCCCTTTCCCTTACTAGTTGAGGTCGGTCAAACTCCATTTGCACAAGCGGTATCCTATTGTCTATGATATAGCGCACCTATGCGTGCATCAACTAAATAAATAAATAAATAAATAAGGCAATTGAAGCACAGAAAATCCCTTTACTGCGAACGATGATCTGTGAAAATAGAGACTCAATAAGAGCAACGAAACGAGTGTAGGACCTAAGAAGTGCGCTGTTGCGCCGTTTCCGTGAGGAGAAGTATCAGGAAAAACAGACGGACGGTGGACGACGCATAATGTGTTGTATTTGTTTGCTGTGAGTACACAGCTAATAATACAGCTTGAGCTAATACACAATATTCCAGTTGTGGCGAGTTCTACCAACAGCCAGTGACCAGTGCTCGGTGAACGCTCAGATCAGTCTGCGTTCCTATCCTACATCCGACACGTACAATATCTATTTCATACAGAATATGAACAAAGTTAGTTAACCCTAGAATCTGCTGCAATCAAGCAAGGACGCGATTACTCTAAAGAGATCGTTTTTCAGACACTGACGGAAACGACATGCACCGTGGTCTCATTGGAAAATGCCAGAATGCGGCCGCCGAGGAGCGGATGTTGGTGAGGCTTTTCAACCGTTAGAACTTTCTGGCGTTCTGGTGAGCCCGTTCCAACTATATTAGGTTGGTCGCAGAAGTGATGGGCGGTTTTCGACCTCCGTCTTCGAAGCAATATAACTCCAGCTCAAATATTTTAAAGCGAGAAATTACGATAAAATTTCTGTGCAGCATGGAAGAACGAGCAGCACTTCAAGCAGTAGCTAGAGCCCAAAGGAATCGAGATGTGGCCTTTTTGTGACTAAAGGTGCGCTCGTTGCAGCGCCCTGGGGCTGCCAATCCTTTCTGAGCTCCGCCTCCGCCTGTGCTCCGCCCCTCAGCAGATCGCTGTTCGATTATCATTCTGATAAGGTATGCCACTTCGAGCGCGTATGTCCAATACTTTCTCATGGAATGCTTTATCAATCAAGGTATGATCTCTGGTGGTATGATGGTAGCTATGGTTTAACGAGTGCCGACGACCTCTTAGTTGGTTGCCAACTCGTCCATTATCGGAGGTCAACGGGCAGAGGAAGTGGTCCCATTTTGCGCGTTTTTGACGGATTTCTTTGCTTTTTTCGCTACTAGGGCATTATTCAGCATCTTCACTTCCACTATGAGCACAACAGAATCCTATCGCAATCTCTCGCTTTAAGTCATTCCAGAAGAAGTGCTGGAGACTGCGCACCTTTCTCAACAAGGAGCATGCTGAATTAATGCACGATCTCAAAATATAGAACCGCAGAAGCGCAGAAATAGTTGAACGTCTCTCCACCATGTCTTGGTTTTCGTATATTTTTCTCTCCAAGAAGCTGTCGAGATGGCTGAAAAGGCGAAGCTGGTGGAAGCGATCCTGTGAAGTGCAATGTGAAGCAAGGCAGGATGGATGATTCGTTCATTCTTGCGTGTCGTTCATGTTGAGGAAAGGAAGCCGTTCACCATTGATGTTCATCAACATGGTGAACGGTTCCTTTCCTTCCAGGATACAGACCTTGCTGGTCCTGGTGCACCACATCGGCGTGATTCACAAACCTTGGTACTGTATAAGCCCACCTGAGTCTAGGAAACTGTGTTGCATCAGCACTTCGGAAAGCCACGAAACCATCAGCGTTGTACTCACCTTGTCGGAATTCCTGCTTCGGAAAAAGGTTTGATGGTCGCCGTCTAGATTTTCAGAAAACTGCTTAATTCTGTTGTAAAGAATCCGATTTCCGTCGAGGATGATGAAATGTTCCAAAAGTCACATTTTTTGTTGGGTGAAACGAGTTGTGACGAGATCCCTGAAGAGCGACTTTGCTGCTGCTCAGTCAGCTCATGCGGTGCTCATTTGCTCAGCTTTCCTTACCTTCCCAAGTAGGCGCTCTGAAAATTTCTGATATGCTTACTCAAGGTTATGCTGCTGGCCTCGTACACTTGTTTGGAATCTTCTTCCGCCGGGTCCTCAGAAGGCTGCCGTCAAGAGGAGAATGTCGTCCGTAACCCCCTCACTTCGAATCTAGAGTTCCTACAGTGTAAACTTTGGGCGAGCATCCTGCCCCACACAACAATCCTTGTGCGATGTCTGCACAGCACCCTCTCCGAATTTCAACTCATTGAAGTGAATTTGCTCAAACTAGTGCTTTGACGTCTTCGATTCAAACCTTTAATAAAGGCAGTCACCGGTTTCTTTCGAAATACAATAGAAGAATAAAGAGAATAAAATGGGCTTTCAACGATCTGCAGCAATGCGACAATCGAAAGAAAATTTCCCAGAAAAAATGTCCAATAAAGTATGATACATCGAAACACGCATTGCTTTCTGAACAACCCAATATGTAATGATGAGTCGCCAAAGCTTCAAACTCGTAATATTTGGGAAGAAAATTTCTAGGCGGAAAATAACAAGTGCCGTCTGCTAACCGTGGACGACAAACGAACTCATAATGAATCGGAACGCATCCGCCACTTGCCGCTCAGCCTTCTCACAACACGCAGCGAAGGTATTCCGAGTAAGTGCTCAGTTATCGCCCATATCTTTGATCTCTCTCACTTGAAATGGTCATACCATTTCCATAAATCCCAATATGGTGTATTTGAGGGTGATGATTTGCCAACCTTGTAGAGACTGGTTTGGTTGTGCTTGTAATTGTTGTAGCTTAAAGGAAGCAGTCACAATTTCAGGCACACGAATAAGAAAGCATTATTGGGTGATAGAGGTCCTGCCAATGTTAGAACACGTAGTTTCGGGCAGTGGCCCCTTTGACTAGATTAATCCACCACGACTTGACAGTGCTATGCATAAATTGCTTGCTAGGTTCAAGACACTTTTGATTAGGATAGGGTGCAAGGTAGCTTGGGCTTTTACAGGAACCCTTTCAAGGCGGATGGTACTAAGAAAGCTTTCCGGTTGAGTTCAAAGTAGACAGTAGAGTGCTTGGTCAAGAAAAATCAGAACGAGAACGGCTCAAAATCGACGGAATGGGATCTTTCTAACTCTTTGATTCCCCACTGGGTAAGCCAGCGATCAAAAAACGTCGGTCGAAAATCCTTTGGGGA